GTAAAATAAATCTACATTTTACTGTAAATCATTGCAGGACTACTATGGATTTTAAAAGTAAAAGCTTCCTTCAAAAGTAAAATGCCAATCAAATGAAACTGGTACATTCGATCAAGGGAACAGAATGGGAAGTCTGAAAAATGAAGAGTTTCAAGAGGTGGGAAACATGCCAGGTTATATGCAGTTTCAAAGGGCCTAAAACCTCCACTGGAGCATCAAACTGTATGAGTGTTCAAAGGAGAGTTTGATAACATAAATACAAGGAATGGGAAAATAGAATCAGCACTTCAAATATCTCAGAACATCAAGGAACTCCAACAGAAGTCTCCGATTATGGGCTTCATTTTGGTTACTTAGATTTAATAGGTTTGATGATGTCAGACAAACATTGACATGTTAGTGACCGGACTACAAAACAGATCAATGAAAATACTTCAGACCTCATTCTGTTGAGTGAGGTCTTCTGACACACTGTTGAACTCAGTGGCCCGAGTACTCATCCCCAGATACTGCTTCAGGAACTCACTGAAACGTTTTTGGTTGTTCCACTTGCGGGCTGACTTCCGAATACCAACAAAGCCCCCATACCTCTTCTGGTAGGATCTTCCTGGAGACATGAGTCTCCTGTGGCCGTGCCTCCCTTTTACAAAGCCACCAAACCTTTTGGAGATTAGCGCTGCATCTCCCTGCCCTGCTGCCACATCAGGGTCTCCTCCTTCCTGACCTTCCTCCTCTGCATACTCATCCTCCAGGGACATCGCATTCTGGGAATTATAGGCAGTGTTGAGGTGATTTTCCTTCCCACCCAGATCCTTCTCCTCTGCATCAAGTCCATGGGTCACATGATTAACCCTCTGTAGTGCAATAGGAAGAAACAAATGTCCATTCATCTGCTCGTCCTCCCCAGGAAACAGAGCCTCCACCTCCTCCTGAGATCGTTTCCACACTGAACCACTTGGGGACAAGATTGGTGACAGCAGTGCTTCACGACAGAGGTCCCATGAGGAGGATGGGGAAACGCTGCTTTCGCACTCAATGAAACACACCTGACAAAGACAAAGACAGGAGATAATCTTAATTTCCCAGCTCCCAACAGAGGAGATCTTTGTAACAGACAAAAGTTTGCACATAAGGTAATCTCTCAGATTAAAAACACCAAAATAAATGCTGCTGCATTTAAAAAAAAAAAAGATAAATAGAAGCATGCACATCACTAAATTCGTATTAGTTTTGATGGTAATGTAATATCAACCAAAGATGAATTACAGTGAAGACTGAAGGCATTCTCACAGTATTCTTGGCTGACAGTCACACACTTACATCATTTTACCAGTTTCCACTTGATATCTGAGTTTACTGATGCTGATTCCCAGACATACAACTGACAACGCAGCTGAAGTCCACAAAATGAAAGGACAAGGTTTATGACCAGATCTGTTTATTTTTGACAGAGCTGTTTATATCATCTCTTAACAAAGATTAAAATGAATCATAGTCATTGGTTTGCGCCATACAAAACCATACACCTACTCATGCTGACACGCTAATGACACTGACTAACATAGACTATTTGATTACTAAATTGATACATTTTGGATGAAGCTGTGTCTCTCCCATTATGGCTCCTGAGAAATCCATGACACACAATTAGGAAATATAACTATTACATACAACTGAGAAACTGGAAAATGCAATGCATTGTTAGATGATTGGGTAATCTGAGTCCTGAACACGTCTATGCATTAAAAGCGTAGACATTTACACATGTGCTGCAGTATTAAAGCACCTGATTTGCTAGGGCTGCTTGAGTGGAAAGTCCTTAACTCGAAAAATGCCAAAATCAATAAGACAAAAGGACATTGATTAGATTTCTGCCCTTGTTATCACCTCTTTCTTCCACTTCAGCTGTTCAGTGGGCATTTGTGATATGTCTACATGTCTGCCTGCCTGCCTGCCTGCCTGGGTGTCTGTCTCTCAAAGAGCACTGGCATACACTAATTTCTAAGATACCCCTAAACTACTACATGTCAAGCACTAATGCTCACCTCAGCCCAAACCCTAAGCCTTAAATCACATCTTCACCGTTAAATAGGGAACCTGTTTTTCATCACCGAAGATGACATGTGTTGATGCAGTATGGATGCGGATCCATTCTGTAACTGGTATGCTGGTTTGTGTTACTGGACTGCATCTGTCAAAATAAGATTGAGGATTCGAACATGTAATGCATGAAATACTGAGGTGCTTGGAGGGCTGCAAGATTTCCAAGTGAAATTGAAAGAAATTGAACATTTAAATTAGCAAAGGAGTAAAAGGTGGTCAGCATCGCTTTAAATAACAATTTGTCTTTAAGCACTAGGCTCACTTGAGGTCCCTTTAAATACCACACCTGAGCTAAGTATCTAACACTAACAGTTTAAAAGGTTATGTTTTAAGCCATTTGGACTTGAATGTCTTCTAGTGTGCTCCCTGCCAAAATTGACTTAGAAGCAGACATGTCATTAAGTGGAGAAAAACAACCACCAGGCATAAACACGAAGAGAAACATACATCTATCCCCAGGAATCAATTAGCCACAACAAATTAAAACTCAAATGCCAAAAGGGTAGTTTGTTGAGTCAGTCAGTGAGGGAGCTGTTGAGAGGATGAGATAAATACAGGGAGGTGGAGTGAGGAGTTTCCACTTTATATTCACTAAATGAAAATAATACAAGTGAAGAGATTTATTTAGCGCTATATGTTAGCTGATTTATTAATGTGAGAGAAGACCAGTTTTGCCTTCATGACATACCTGCTGTGCATTATTATGTTATTAATATTTCATAGCTGATGTGTAGCAAAACTGAGCTTCATAGTAGTTTCATAATAAGATATTGTTGAAAAATTATTATGCATAATACCATCAACTACTGATTATATGGTTGATGGCAAATAATTAATAATTATTGATGTGAAAGTGAAGAATAGCAGCTACCTTTTAACTGCTCCCAGTTGACTCTTCTGTTGCCTTCACCTTTGTGACTATGGGTCACTCTTATAACCACAAGCGTGTGTGTGTGTGTGTGTGTGTTGATGTGTGTTGAGCCCTTACCATGGTGTTAAAACTGAGCTGTTTGGGCAGGATGTTGTTGCAAGACAAGCAGTCAGCCTGGCAGTCACTCTGTCCAGGATCACAGAGACAGAGCAGAAGCAGAGCCACCACAGTCTTCATGGTCCCACCTTCTGTTGCACAACAGGACAGAGGAAAGGCACGTGTTCAGTCCAACACTTTGATACTGAACTAACTACATCTCGGGTAACTTACATTCTGTAGTGTTTGGTGAGTGTGTAATTTTCAAACACTATCTGTCTTTGCAGAATAGCAGAGTAATATACTTCTATGTAATATAATATCAAATTGCTATGAAAAGTAGTTTCAGCTAAATGTGCAGTGATTAAGTCCGTATCTTCTGATATGTCATGGTTTGCCTTATTTTCTTGACACCAATAATAATTTCTGCGAGCCAAATAAAAATTGAAGAAAAGGACAAGGAAACAAATCCCTGCTGAAATCATAACTGTATGTCTATCAACGAAGTTTTGTTTATTTGTGGTGTCCTGCTACATTACCTATCAGGGTATCCAAAATCAAGCATGCAGTGTAGTCTTTAAAAAGCACTTTGTGCTTGTTAAGCCCACAATGTCATTTTCAATTAGCAGCATATTGTGTAGGCAGTATGAACACATGTTTTAAGCTAATGTGACAAGCTTGTTACAGAGTCCTTACTGTAACAGTTAGGGAGCAACATTGTCATAAATTTGGACTCGTGTTTCTGGCCACGAGGCAAATGTAATTGTAATATTCAGTCTCATTTAGCTCTGTTTTTTGTTTCAATAGTTTTTTTTTTTTCTTACAAAGTCCTTGGGGAAATATAGCTCTGAAATTTCCCTCTAACTTCAGGTGCTAACTGTGTCTCTCTGACGCCGATATTGTACAAAGTATTCTATGGAAATATCTGCTATAGTTGATAATAGTATAATAAGAGAAGTTAGCATGAGACAAAGCTGTTTATTACTGTCATATTTTATAAATTAGATTGAGTTTTAGGTTGGGTTTTTTTTACTTTCAAATATATTTTTGATGAGACCTTGGACTGAGCTTGCCAAGCTCATTATTCTAAATTCAGCTAAATACATTGACAAAAACCTCAGTAGGCAGTTGATGAGGGATGAGGGAGCACTGACTGCATCCCTCAGTCAATCTGCCTTCACCTCTGCCCATCCCCGAAAAAGTACAGGAGAAGTGGTTTTGTTTAGTTGAACAAGTTAGCCTGCCTCACTGATTCACTGACTCTTTAAGTTAGGATGTGTAGTTCCCATCATAGCTCTAAAATACCAGTCAATATAAAGCAATAGAGCTGAAGTAGCAGACAGATTTATGCACCTTTTCTTGCAGTCCCACACATTTCACTTGGTCTGTTCTATATTACAATCTGTGTTCTTTCTAATAGTGACACTTCTTTCTATGTATTATATCAATAATAATGTTGGTATTTCTTCTCAGTTTGGCATTATGGTAATGACAGTATTGATTTTTGAGCCGGAAATGATCATATTTGGATGAGAGGGTAGTTATCTCCTGTAAGGACTGAAAGGTGCATTCACAGACTGCATGGATGCATTACATTTGACAATTAGTTTTAAAATAAACATTCAAGAATTACTAGAATGTCCTTGACCACACCACTACTGTTCTATCAACTGAGGTTAAGCCAGCCATTTGTGCAATTAGTGTCATTATGTCACACAAACATATAGCTACTATTCAATCATTAGTGTGCTAAATACTTTCGATTAATATCACAGTAATAATACATAGAACTGAAAGTCACTTTTAATGCAAATTATTTTTTAAATAACATTTTAATTATTACTGACACTAATAGCTTGAACTGATACTAATAGCACGGTGGCACGGTGATTAGCACTATTGCCTCACAGCAAGAAGATCCTGAGTTCAATTTCACCATCAGGGGTCTTTCTGTGGGGAGTTTGCATGTTCTCCCCGTGTTTGCGTGGGTTCACCCCAGGCACTCCAGTTAGTTAGCAGTTAGTGGGGTTGGGTTAATTGGAAATAGGGGTGAATGTGAGTACAATTACTTGTCTTTGTCTATGTGTTAGCCCTGCGACAGACTGGCGACCTGTCCAGGGTGTACCCTGCCTCTCGCCCTAAGCCAGCTGGGATAGGCTCCAGCACCCCAGGGACCCCGAAAAAGGATAAGCGAATGGATGGCTGTTTTAAACTTTTACTAGCTTCTCATCAATGTGTGATTTGCACTAAATACTGTGTAGGGCAGACAAGAGTTCAAGAGGAAAAACAACACAGCCACATGAAAAAAAAAAGAAATACTGAATGAGTGTAAGCGATAAATGAAACAGCATACAGACAGGGACAAAAACAAAATAAAACAGTTTGACCTTATTTTGGTAGGAAGAGTCTGGCAAGTCTGACGTCAGAAACACAATTACGGTTTTCGTCTCATTAAACAAACTCGTTAACTCCTTTAATTGATGCCTCAATAATGCCTCCGGCAACAAACTGAGTCATTGTTTCTTGATGACAAACAAATTTCAACTCATATGCACAAAACAGTGGAACACACACACTTACACGGCACACAAGCATATGTCCACACTGTATCTGTACTTCAATACATTAAAACAGACATTACTAAAATGCAACTTTAACGGCTGGTTTAAATTATCTATTAAAACAGCTTAAAAATTTTTTAGAACTAATTTGTCTTCAGTGAAAAACTTTTTTAATATCTTAGAAATCTGGAATTTATTCAGGGTAATTAAAAAATGATAGAAATGTAATTGCAGTACAGTTCAGTCCAGTCACTGACAACTCATGAAAAACAATAGCTCTGCAAAATTAATCAGCCTTCTCGTGTGCAAACAATAAAAGTGTGTGTCAAGTCTTTAATCTGATGGGAAAGAGGGCGGGTTTGCCAGTGAAGGACAAAAGAACATCACAGCTGTTTTAGGCAGGAATGTAAGACAGATGGCACTGGATTTAGACAAACAGCTTGTGCGCATTCATGTGGCCACAATACATCTCGTTCTCCATCCTCCTGTCACTGAATCTGGCCCTGCTTGTTTTCCGAAAGCAAGAGGATAATGTGCAAAGATGGCCACATTTCTCTACTGAGATGTGGTCAGAAGAGGAAAACACAGGTGAGCCACATATCCTTAATTTAGCAGTGAGCGAAGATAATTAAAGACGTACTCTTTGTTAGATAAACTGGTTTTATCTAATTACTTGGTTTTATCTCAGTTATCTCATTTATTCAGCCATTTGCATGGCAGCAACTCAGTGCATTTAGGCATGTAGACATGATCGGTGCAACCCGTTGAAGTTCAAACTGAGCATCAGAAAGGGAAAGTAAAGTGATCTTGAACGTGGCATGGTTGTTAGTTTATTTCCCAAGTGTTTGATCTACTGACATTTGACACAGCTATCTCTGGGGTTTACAGAGAATGGTCAGGAAAGAAAACCTATCCAGTGAGCAGCGGTTCTCTGGACAAAAAGGCTTTGTTGATGCCAGAGGCCAGTGCAAGAACATCTCAGAGTGTGTCCAACTTGAAGCAGATGAGCTACAGCAGAAGACCACACAGAACTGACATCCTATCATAGGAACAAGAAACTGTGGCTGCAAGTGACATGGCCTCACCAAATCTGTACAATAGAAAATTCTTAAAAGGTTCTGATGAGTCTCGATTTCTGTTGTGGTATTCAGATGGCAGGGTCATAGTTTTGTATAAACAACATGAAGGTATGGATACATCTTGCCAACTGCTGGCGGTGGTGTAACGGTGTGGCGGATATGTTCTTACCTCAAACAGGTAAAAAGCTTTCTTCATCTTTCAACATCTAGCCTCTGTTTTAGGAATACAAATGCATGTCCTTCTGTATGCTGGATTTTAAATTATGTTTTGTTTGCTTGTAAAATGGTTGCATTCAGATAAATCCATCTTCTCTACCACACAGATTAATATTACCAGATGGAATAATTTAAATAAGAAAACAGTGAGCTTTTACCTTTAAACAAATCACATCTGGTTAAATCATGTTCATCAGGGTGAAATCATGCTGCTGCTTTCTGAGCTGAGCCTTTACTATCTCAGTTTTAATATTTTAGTATACTATACCACTATACTACTACTAAACATTAGTAGTTATGCTTGCACCAAATGACTGCATTGCTTTTCAAGCCAATTTTCCATGTTTTAATTAAGGATTAATATTATTGTAATTTTATTTTATTTATGAATCACAACTTTCTAATTTTGTTAAATTGAAAGATAGAGGGTGAGCTTCCAGCCGTCCATGCCTCAGTCTATTTTATTCCACTTATTCTAGGTTGGGCAATGGTGGTAACAGGCTAAGTAAATATCCTTCAACCAGAAGGACCTAGAAACCATTTTCTAGGTCCTTCTGGATGATTCTCACACATTCAGTCTAGATTAGATACATAATCCCTCCAGTGAGTTTTTGGCCTGCCCTGGTGTCTCTTCTGGGCTCTAGATAGACACGATTTTTTTCAGTTTGACGTGCCTGGAAAACTTCCAAAGGCATTCAGAAGGCATTCTGATGAGAAGCCTGAATCAGATCAATTGGATCCTTTTGAAATCATAGCAGCAGCTTTACTTTAGGCTCTAGATGTCTCAGCTCCTCACCATACTGTATCTCTCAGGCTGAGTCAAGTCACACTAAAGGAAACTCCTTTTGCCCATTTAAATCTGCCACTTCATTCGTTTGGTCACTTCTTAGAGCCTATGACCACAGTTGAGGGTTTAAACGTAGATCGATCAATTTAATGTTTTTATCACAATTTCCAGTTACTGGTAGAATATTTCACTTTAGACTGACTGGCCAACAGAACAGTCGCAGAGTTATACATCTATACATTACTACTTCAACTAAGTCAAATGTTTTGGAAAGGTTTAAAAGCTTTTTGTTCAGATGATTCCCTCTTTCACAAGTTTCAGACAAAATAAGGGAACTGGCTAACCCTGTCAGAATAATATGATAAGTATTCTTAATTTTGTAAAAATTCAAATATGCTTGGGCAGCTGTCATTGGAGATGTAACGAGCAACCAGTGCTACACTTTAGGGAACAGATGACTATCCTATCTGGGCTAACTCTCTCACTGGCAAAGAACTAAGGCCCGATTT